GACAAACTGACAGACAAGTGGTGGCCATTTGGTTTTAAGTGGAAACTGTCACTTGACAATGAATGCAACACCATTCTTTTTTAAAGTGACAGTTTGAGGTTAGTAGTTAGTCTTTGTCCTACAGTGCCACACCAGAATGCCAACCTGTAGGTGGTGGTGGTGGTAGTGTGCTGTGGAGTCCGTTCCGACTCATAGCATCCCTGTACAGGGTTTCCGAGGCTGTCAATCTTTACGGAAGCAAAAAACCTCATCTTTCTCCTGCAGAATAGCTGGTAGTTAGATGGATCATTTTGAGGCAATTTTTGTAAATTTTGGGGGATAAATTGAATTACTTGATGATATTCTTATGAGGATGAACAGTACTATATTTCTAAACTCCACTATGATTTGTTGGATGTATTCAGCCCCTAATATAAAGGAGCTTCAAAAAGTTCATGAAAATAATTCCTTATCTTTTCATCCAATTTTCCCACAAACTTTTTGAAGTCCCTTTGTACGTAGGATAATCACTGGACTGCTAACTGCAAGGCCAGCTAGCTGTTCAAACCTACCAGCCACTCCTCGGAAACCCTCTACAGGGTCACTGTGAGTCGGAACCAACTCAACAGCATGTGAAAACAACGTACTTATTCAGTGAATTTGTGACAAATAAATCCTTTGCCTCTTCTGAGGAGAGGTTGCTTTGGTAAACATAGCTAACCCTCATTGGCTTTTCAAAGATAAGTATAGCCCAGTAGATATTTGTTCAACTCAGGTCAACTTTACCTCCTCAGACTCAGTGTGGGAAAGGAAGTATTCACTGAAAGACATCTTCTCTTTTAGTAAGAAACAGGATCACAGAAACTGATGAGCAAGGGCTACATCAAAATCAAACCTTCATACTGTTGTTAGGATGTTGTTAGGTGCACTGACCTTGGAGTTAGCAGCGCAGGATACCTCCAGGGCTCCTTGCCAATGTGTGTAAGAACTTGAAGAGATTCTCAACGCCATCATTTACTCAAACACTCATTGTCAACCATTCTCCCTGCTGGTCTTCACTTACAGGGTAAAGTTATCATTGGACTTGCCTTTGACTGTGTGGACAAGATGGTTTACTGGACTGACATCAGTGGACCTTCCATCGGGAGAGCCAGTCTTCACGGGGGAGAGCCAACTGTCATTATTCGACAAGGTGGGCAAGTTAAGGTCATTCTTCTTTTTTGGGGTTTTGCTTCTAGCAACCAAAGTGGCTCTTTGAAGAAGCTGGAGGTTGGGGTGTATGGTTGCTGACAGGAAATGGTGGTTTGCGAGTGGCCGGTCTTCTTTCTTAAATCACCACCCCTCCCAGCCACCTCTGAAGAGTTGGCCGTGGACTGTTGCTAATCTAAGGAGAATAAAATTAAAATGGGGTAAGTGCCCACACCTTTCTCTGAAAACCAACATGGTCGGTTTTAATGGGCAATAAAGATTGTCCAAAATCACCATCCATCTCTGTTTCTAATTGTGGTGAGCATATATCTAGCAAAACACTTGCCATTTCAACATTTTTATATGTACGGTTCAGTGACATTCATTGCATTTGTCATGTTGTGTAACCATCAGCACTCTCTCCGTTTCCAAATATTTCCGTCCCCCTTAACAGAAGCACAAGCTCTCTACTTCAGTGTAGGTTTGTGTTTCTCCCTCTGGGCCACTGCTCCTGGAACTGAATCTCAGAGTACTCACTCCATAGTGTTCTTCACTACGGTTTTCCCAAAGGCAACGGGCAGATGAATCTCAGCTGGGAAGGCCACAAGCATCCTGGTAAATAATGACCCTGACAATGGAGTGGTGTCTATTCTAAAGGTGGTTTTCATTTCAACCTGTAACATTGCTGGGAGAGGATTCTCCCCTCCTCTATTTCATCACACCCGCCCCCCTTGCTCAGATTGCCTTTACCAGAGAGCACAGTGAATCAGCTGAACTTTGGCAAACATTTCTCAATTGTCTGTTGCTTTACTGATGATAAAGTACATAGCAACGTGACACAGCCTACCCTCAACATTTAACCTCAATTCCTAAACTTCAGCATGCCAATTTAAATTGGTGGTGGTGTGGCGCTGTAGGATCAGCACTGGACTGTGCCACAAGGTCGGAAGTTCAAACCCACCAGCTGCTCCTTGGAAACCCTATACTGGGTGCCTATGAGTCGGAACAGACTCTACGGCACTTAACAACAACAACAAACATTCAACAGAGCAAGATGATTTTCTGTGGGTATATTTTGTCTAGAATAAAGACCATTGTAAAACAATCCAAGGACATGTGAAAACTCCAGTATGTCGAAAAGGTCAAGCATTCCATGTTGCTTAAGTAATGACTCATCAGCTGATTGGGGAATATTTTTTGCTCAAAAGACTTTTTCATACTGATGGTATTTGGTGTATCACATTGTTTGCTTTGCAGATATTCACATCAGAGGTATATCTTTAAGACGAAGGACCCTCATTTTGTACTTCTTTTTATTTCATGCTGGATGTAGCTTGTCCAGTTTCCAAGTTAATGTTTCCTTAACAGTTCAGATTCCGGAAGGGCCCCTGTGCCTTTGGACTGCCCTTCCTGACTGCACTAGAGGTTATCAGTGGGGATTAAGCTGAGAGTGACTTAAATATGTCTGGCTTTGGACACTGACCATGAAACATTCTGAAAATCAATGTTCTATTAAATAACTTGTACTGATTTTCATACTTTGGTTTAATGAAAGGAACTTTGGAAATGCCTTTTTGCCTTTTCTCTCTCTCTTTGTTAAACTGTTATTGCAATGATCTGCACTTTACTTTCCAAACCAATGGGGAGGAGGTCTTTGAGGGCTATTTCCTGTTGCTTTGGGAGCTGATAGTCATCCAAGAAAGCTTTAAGCACTGAAGGAAACATTCCAAGCAAAAGCCTGCTAACTGCAAAAACACCAAACTGAATCTAAATGTGATGTTTGTAGCAGAAAGACCATTAGGAAGAATGATTTTTTCTTCAACCTAAGTCTTCGTGATTCAGGTCGCTGCATCAGGAGGGAATGTTCATGACAGCTTTGCTTTCTTGTTTAATACTGGCTGGACTTTCCATTGTTTATTTCGGTTAAAGTTTCAACCTTATGTTTTTAGTAACTTCCATAATCTGTTTTCTTTTGACTGGTTGTTGTTGTTGTTGTCAAGTACTGTCGAGTCGATTCCGACCCATAGCGACCCTGTATAGGGTTTCCAAGAAGTAGCTGGTGAGCTTGAACCACCGACTTTGCAGTTCAAACGGCTTTGTAGTCTGGCGCATTAACCCACAGCGCCACACCAGGACTCCTCTTTTGACCTAGTGATGTAGAATATGTTGTTTTGCCAATTTTAGCCTTCTTTCTTTGACTGCACAGTGAAAGAGAAAATTTCCAGGTCTTTCTTTTAGAACTCCAACCTATAAAGAAATATTTTCCCAATTTTTCTCCCAATTAGTGGGGGAACCTGGTTGCTCTTGGGTTTGGAATCAGGACTGGACCATGTGACCACATGAACAGGGCTCCCTCACGTGTCTGATAAGGATGCTTCGGTCTGAAGAACCATCCTTTCCTTTCTGCGTGGGTGTTCTGAGCAGCCATTTAACGTGTACTGTGGTGGTGGTAGTGTGCCGTGGAGTCAGTTTTGATTCATAGCGACCCAACACAGGGTTTCTGAGGCTGTAAATCTTTACGGGAGCAGAAAGCCTCATCTTTCTCCTGCGGAATAGCGGGTAGTTTCGAACTGCTGACCTTGAGATTAGCACTCTTTCAAATGTACCTAAAATTATCTATTCTGGTGTAGCTGCAGTAATTCTGAAAGCTGGGAGAGGATTCAGATTGTCATTTTCTTGCTCTTTGCCTCCCAGAATGCAGGAACTATTTTAATACTTAGCCATCTCTACCTTGTTGTTGTTGTTGTTAAGTGCCGTCGAGTCGGTTCCGACCCATAGCGACCCTGTACAGGGTTTCTGAGGGTGTAAATCTTTACGAGAGTAAAAAGCCTCATCTTTCTCCCGCGGAGCCGCTGGTAGTTTCGAACCGCTGACCTTAAGGTTCGCAGCCCGATTCGTAACCACTACGCTACCAGAGCTCCTTAGGTTTGAATAATAAATTTCCTGTTCAACTGCTGTTTCTACTTCTTGATGTGTAGGGATGCTTTCAAGGGCGTTGGTGTTTCTCGGTACATCAACCAGGATGGCATTAGGAATCCAGCCAGGACCGTATAAAAGGAGCTGAAGGTCTGAATCACTGATGCAAACGCGTATTGGGGTGATGCCCCCCATGCTTCATCCTTTGCCGCTTTGTGTTTCACCTCAATGACCCACAATTCAGTAGAGGGGGGCGGAGTCCTAAGTCACACTTTATGATCTAAATTGACATTTGTTCAATGGTGTGATACCATTACATATACATATATATATATATGTTGTTTTAAGTTTTATTGTAAAATATATTTATAACAAAGCATTTGCCATTCTCCCCATGGTTAAATGTAGAATTCAGTGATACTTATTATATGAATTTACCATACTATGGAACCATCACCATCTTTCTATATCCCATCCTCACTCTTCCCTTCCCTGGCTCTGGGAACCAGTGCTCTACTTTTGTCTCTACCTCAATGGTCATTTTTCAATGTTTTTAATTTAGTTAGGAGAAGTATAGTCTACGCAGTTGTAAACGTCTGATGACTGTGGATGGGTACTAAAGGTTTCCATGAATAACCAGTTTACCCTCTGGCAATCCCTTGCTGGAAAAGAAGTCACTTATAGTGTAGTAAAGATCTCTGGGACTGCTCTTCGTGATCATGGGCACTGTTTTTCTGTACCCCCAAAACTTGTAGAGAAGTAACAACAGGTAAGCTCTGCCACTCTGCAGTTTTATTTCCCTAAAGTGCTCTGGGTTTTCTTTGCAGTAATTTATAAGTTAAATTCATTTGTACCATTTCCCCATCTTGAGGTCTCACAGTGCGTCTCCTTCACTGTGAGAGAAGCTTGCAGCTCGTTCTTTCTCATGTATCTTAACTTGATCTCTGGACATTTCCCACTGTGTGCTCGCCAGCATAAAAAACTAACCCTCTATTCTAAATCTCATCAATGAAACAGACAGAACTCTTCTGGAAGTACTTTACACGATCCTGTGGCACCGCAGGGTAAGCACTACACTGCTGGCTGCATAGTCAGTGGTTCAAACCCACGAGCTGCACCTTGGGAACCCTATATAGGTACGCTATGAGTCAGAACTGACTCATTGGCATTTAACAACAACAATACAGTTCAGTGTAAGCTGCATCAAATCTTCCTTTATGCCCATGTGTTGGCCCCTCTACCTGGAAACCCCTTGTCGGGTTCCTATTGGTCCTTTGGGAGCCAGCTGGGTCAGTGGTCCCTCTGAGGGACTCCCATGGAGCCTGGAGCTCTGCACTGATAACCTGGAAGCCCAGTGAAGACAAGGGCCATGAATAAATCATCACCATGGACCCTGTGGCCAATATGATGTCATGCTGAGTTAATGAACTGGCATTTTTTTTTGAACTTGTCATTTTGAATGTTGTTAATTTCATTCTCTTGTACATGAGCTTGCCAAGGGTTGGGGGCCAACTGTACGGAGCTTAATAACAACAACAAATCAGGAAAACTTAATCCCATCTGCTTGAAAAATCAAATCAGAGGAGTTCTGTCCTTGGTTCTAGACCTTGGAAGCCCAGAAGGCATTGCTCTTGACCACCTTGGCCGTAACATCTTCTGGACGGACTCTCAGCTGGATCGAATCGAAGTTGCAAAGCTAGATGGCAGCCAGCGCCGGGTGCTATTTGAGACTGATCTGGTGAACCCCAGAGGCATCGTAGCGGATTCCGTGGGCGGGTATGTTGACATAAATATGTGTGTATGTGTCTGTTCTATTTCCGTCCGCCCTTTTGGATGGTCTCAAATGTCAAGATCTAATTCTAGCATTGTTCTCCTGAAAGAGAACAGGTTGGTACCTTGTAGATATGTCAGACTTCTATGACAAAGCCCCTGTTCTCATGACACTGACTTGTTGTGGATTTGATACCGTGTTCCAAAAGACTTTGTCAGCTTATAGTTTAATGCCGGGTGTTTTCCATATGGTTGAGCCTGTGTAAACAACAGTACAAGAGTATCCTGATAGCATATATGTACTCTGGGGCTCCTTTCTGGGAGTGGACCCAACTGAGTACACCTCAGAAGACCCCCTTCCCTATGGGTTTTGACAGCACATCAGTGCACACCCCCCCTTTCTGCCTGCTGTAGGTTCTCAACACGCAGAGTCCCTTTTGAGACCACATTCCTTGTTCTGTGGCCGTCTCTGCCCCCAACACTCCAGCAGCAGGTGGGGTGTTGACCATCGCCTGTCAGCATCCACACCTGTGCCTCAGTCCAGTCCCTGGGTCTGCTGTGACTGCCATGTGGAGACAGCATACAAGTAACTCCCCTGTCTTTATGGCAGTACGTGTGAGGGAACGGAATTTGTTCAGAACACAGTGACCAGATTAGTGTCTTTGTAAAGGGAACTGTGTCCTGTCACCGCCGAATCCTTCCTAACTGTTGTCTGATTGCTTTAGCATCTGCCCCTGCAGCTTTGGTTCTTTTTACAGGCAGTCCCACTTACGGACCATTCCTAAGTGTATCTTTCAGTTGTAAGTAAGTCAGAATAGGCCATACAGTTCTTATTCAACCTTACTTTACTGCAAGAAAAAGCTTGAAACCTTTTCAATGATTTCAAAGCTGCACTTGAAGCAGATGAAGGTGATTGTGATTAAGAATTTCTTGCAAGTAGCAGTTAGTTCCAGCTTTTCAAAGTTAGGGCAAATTCCCGTAACATTCAAGGGCAGGTAAGACTTGTCCTTGGACTCCTAGTGTGTGGTGCTGTAGGATAAGCACTGGACTGTGAAATACAGGGTCAGTGGTTCAAGCCCACTAGCTGCTCCTCAGAAACCCTGCACAGGGTTGCTATGAGTTGGAATCGACTCTATGGCACTTAACAAGTGGTAGTGGTGTGCTGGTGAGTTGGGTCCAACTCATAGTGACCCTGTATGGGGTTTCCGAGGCTGTAAATCTTTACACGAGCAGAAAGCCTCATCTTTCTCCTGTGGAGCAGCTGGTGGATTTGAACTGCTGACCTTGCAGTTAGCAGTCACTATGCTACCAGAGCTCCAACAAGAATTGTTGTCCTTAAGTCTGATTTTCATAACCTGGGGACTTACTGGAAAGGTTGTTGCAGACCTTTTTTTCATACATCTTCATGATTTCTCTTTCTCCTCCAGAAACCTTTATTGGACAGATTGGAATAGAGACAACCCCAAAATTGAAACTGCCTACATGGATGGCACGAACCGAAGAGTCCTTGTGAGGGATGACCTAGGCTTGCCCAATGGGCTGGCCTTTGACGCGTTTTCATCGCAGCTCTGCTGGGTGGATGCAGGTGATGTCTCCGGGGTTGGAAATGTCCCCCACTTTTTTTTTAATCAATTATTGCTATCCACTGAGCAGGTCCATGTGTACCCCAAGAGCATAGTAAGAGGGCCCAGAGGATTTTTTTACTTCTCTTCACAAGAACGTAAATTTCAGCTGTGTAGCTGTGGTCTGTTATGTACTGTTTCTCCTGCCACTGTGGGGACGATTTTCATCTTTCTGAATTCAAGCCCAAATCCAGCCCAGCTCCTAGTTTTTTGTTTTTTTACAACCCAGGAGCATTTTTAAGTGTTATACTTTAAATAGCTATATTAGTTCTACCATGATATCTTCAATTTTGCCTAAAATGTGTACTACCCAGCCCTTTACCAGAACTGGCTGACCCCTGTCATGAGGGGTACCTCATGTGGCTGGTAGGCACCTATTAAGCAATTCACAATTTACATCCTTACAGCTTCCTCTTGTCACCAAGGGTTTAAGGCCGGTCTGTGAACCAAGGATGATGAAGGTATTCAGATCCTGTTTTGTGCCTCAACCTCAGTCCGTCCCAGACCCCGCTTCAACCAGGGGGGGTGTGCGCAGGAGTCTCAGGACGGGGAGGAACACCTCTGTCTGGACACTAGGTTGGGTGCCATGGAAACCAAAACCTCTGGTCCCTGCTGGTGAAGGAGTAATCACGAGAACACCAGCGCTAAGTTCAGTCATAATGCAAGCCTTGCGCCATTGCTATGCCAGTGGTACAGCTAGCAGTTCTAGGACAAGGAAAAACAAGTTGCTCTCAAGTTGACTGACCTGTGGTCACTCCTTGTACATCCGAGTAGAACTGTGCTCCACCGGATTTTCAATGGTTGGTTTCTCAGAAGTAGATCTGGGTGGATTGGAAGAGTTATCAGCCTAGTGAGGTAATCATTTGATAAGTGCTGTCGAGTTGGGCTTGACTCACAGTGACCCTTACAGGGTTTCCAAGGAGTGCCTTTGGGTTTGAACTGCAATCCAGTGCTTATCCTATAGCGCTTCACCATCAATTCTTCAAAAATAGTGTCGGGAGGGATCAGTTTCTGGAGAAGGTCAGCAAGTGAGATGGATTGACACATTAGGAGCAACAGTGGACTCAAACATACCAACCGTTGTAATGCTGGCATTGGGCCGGGCTAGGCTGTGTTCTCTTTTGCACAGCATTGCTATGAGTTAGAACTGACTTCGTGCCAACTAGCAACAACAACAAACAGAAACTATGTCAAGGTTGGAAAAGGGTAGGATGAACCTTATTTTGTCAAGTTTCTTTACTTTTTGGAGACTTGTTAAAAATGTAAAACTAAACATAGTGACCTGTTAAGTATGGGGTTACAAAAGAAAAATAATGATAAAAGATGAATCTTTTTCATATATGTGGTGGTGGTGGTGTGCTGTGGAGTTGGCTCTGACCCACAACAACCTTCACCATCAATTTTTAATTGACTTTTGGCTCCAAATTCAGGAAGGGAGGGCTTGGAGAGGCTGCATTACTTAGGAACTTGGGCAAGAGCCTGGTGAGGAGGGAGAGTGGATGCCAACAGCTCTGGGGACGGACAAGCGATGGTGTAGGTCCTTGTCTCTGGCTCACTTCAGAACCAGGTATGGGTGGCAGGAAGGAGATGGTGTTCATTATGAAAGGGGCAAGAGGAAACGAAGAGACAGCTTTCTAATTTTCCATAAAATGCTTCGTGTTCTCTCGGATCTGTCATTGTAACACTGAATTTCTCTCCCTCTTGCCCTCACGGCTCTTGCTTTTGACACAAAGGGACCATTTCTTGCATGAACAATAGACAACTTGTGTTCACTCCACACAGGCACCAAGCGGGTGGAATGCATGAGCCCCGGTCAGCCCAGCAGACGCAAGATTCTTGAAGGACTGCAGTATCCTTTCGCCGTGACGAGCTATGGGAAGAATCTGTACTACACAGACTGGAAGACGTACGTAGGCTGCTGGGCGCAGGGGTGCTTGGCCTACCCCCACCCTCTCACCGTCTGTCTCTGAGACGCTGGAGCCCTTCCTTCTATGTGTCTCCTTTGAGTCTTCAGAACTAGGCCCCCCTCACCCTTGGTCTCTAGTTGTCAGCAGACAGGAGAGAGTGGTGAAGAGGGAAGGAAAGAGGAGCGGCCATGTTATTTATTTCTCATCTGATGTCCTGAGGTGGGCAGCTCCTAATCTGTAAACAGGTCTTGGTGCCTCCCCGCCCCCTAATAGTTCTTAACCAGCAAAATGCCCAGCATCCTTTCTTAGCCACCCTTTCCTTCAACAACGATGACCAAAACCTCCATTACCATTGAGTCTGTTCTGATGTAGGAGTGGGGAGGGTTAATAATCCAGGGGCTGGTGGTCTCTACAGGAAGCTGTTATTCAAGCCTAGAGTTTAGAGTGCGAGGGGAGAGACCGCTGAGCTTGGTCCTTTTTTTAAAAAAAAGAAGAACGTAGAGCAATGCATGGCGCGGTTCCTGTGTACCTCAGAGTAGAACTCTAGGCTTGACCCACACCAGGAGGCGGGCCCTGGTGTCTGTTTGTGGCCTCCAGTTTGTCCCTTAGGTGCCCTGGAGCATAAAGGTCAAGCCGCCATCAGATACATTTTTACTCTGGTGCTTTGTAGGAATTCTGTGATTGCTGTCGATCTTGCCATTTCCAAAGAGATGGATGAATTCCACCCCCACAAAGAGACACGGCTGTATGGTATCACCACCGCCCTCTCCCAGTGTCCGCAAGGTAACTCGCTGGTGCCCTCCTGTCTGGGGGCCAGGGCTGCCCTAACTCAGAGCCCCCACTGCCTGCCACCTGCACAGCATCTGACCTTCATCAAGTGGTGAGCCAGACTGAAAGAAAGGAGACGTAGCGAATGATGTAAACAAGGAGGAAGGAAAGATGGGGTCTTGCGCTGGGGGTCTGGAAGCATAGACTTAAGTAGGGATATCACATTGGTGCTGATGGTTCCATCGAGTCTGTACCGACTCAGCGACCCCATGCATGACAGAGCGAAACACTGCCCAATCCTGTGCTATAATGTTAGGGTCTGCAAAGTGTCATACGTTTGGCACATTGTCAGCACTACACGCATGTATACAACACTTACTGTGAGCTAGGCACTCTCTCTCTATTACCCCATGGTTCTAAGTGCTTTGTAGTCATTAATTGATTTAACCCTTATAGCAACCCTAGGAAGTGGTGGCAGTGGGTCACAGAGTCCGTTCTGACTCAGAGCGACCCTGCGTTGCTTAGGGTTTCCGAGGCTGTAAATCTTTACAGGAGCAGGAAGCCTCATCATCCTCCTGCAGAACAGCTGATAGTTTCAGACTCCTGACCTTGAGGTTATCAGCCTACCAGAGCTCCTTAACCCTATGAAGTAGGTACTCTAATTGTGCCCATTTCATAAATTAAAAACGGGAGCACCAATTAATTAAAAACTTCCCATATCACATAGTGGCAGAGCCAGGGGAAGTCTAACCTGGCTTCAGGATAGAGAATGCTTGGTGCTTTGTACTTTAAAATCGAATTCCATGTTATACTCAGTCCCTTCCCTGAGATGGGTTTAATAAATTTAGTGGTAAATCTGCGGAGTCCCCCAATAGGGTGTATAGTAGTACCTCTTCCTGCTGCCTGTTTAAGTGATAGGAACTGCTCCTAGTCAAGCATTTCCTACTCCTCTGCAGTTCCCACAGGCTTGGCCTCATGGAGACCTAGCAGTAGTTAATGAAAAGCATGGTCTCTTAGGTGTCTGTTCAGTCAGGTCTGAGGGCAGGCTGTTGAACTGGTCTCTACCTTTCCCAGGCCACAACTATTGCTCCGTGAACAATGGCGGCTGCACCCACCTCTGCTTGGCCACTCCAGGAAGCAGGACCTGCCGTTGCCCTGACAACACCCTAGGAGTTGACTGTATCGAGCGGAAATGAAGACGAGAGTGAACGTTCCCTCTCCAAGCAATTCACAGTAACACCCTACTTGAAAAAGTTAAGACTGAAAACTGGCCTCTGGCTAAGTGGCCACTAAGCCCAGGACTAGCCCAGCCTGAGCCCTTACAACTTTCCCATCATCACCACTCCCTAAAACATACATACACCTTGGGCTTCTATACTGGGAATGCGTCTTCATGAGTACAGAAAATCCTTCTGACCCCAACCCTCAGACAAGCTCAGGCAGCCCAAAGTGAGAACTGTGTGCCCCATCATGCCCCGCGGCCTTGTAAGCTCAGCCGCACTCTGAGCCTCTCACTGCCCTGTCAGCCCTCAGCACAGCAGCCGGGACCCTCCAAGGCAAGGTTGTGACATGGAGTTCCCCTTTCCACACTTCCCTTGGTGCTCTGATGTGCCTTCTTATACCCCCGATTTTATACGCATCAGCCATTTGCCATCTTTGTTCTCTCCAAGGCCCCTATTATGGTGGTCATCCCCTGCCTTTAGGTAACCCCCAACCCCCATCCTAGGGATAAATAGGTATTTGGGAATCATAGTGAGCAGCTCTTTCCAGATAAGGTGTTTAGCATTTTAGTAGTAACCTTTAATAGCCAAAGCCTCGAATCAGAGACATACATGTTCAGAGGTAGGAATTTCAAAGCATGGAGTCTGATATTTGAGGATAAGAGATTATTTTTATGTGCCTTATATTTCACCAAAGACTACCAACTTTCTTATCTTTTCGCAGAGCACCAGGGTCTGACATCATTGGCACAGCCCCACTTCAGGTGTCAATGTTGAGTCACTTCACAGACAATGTCCGAGGCAGAGGCTGGGACCAGTGCCCATAATGGCCCACAATGGTCTTGTCTGTACCCTCCACTCCTGGGAGCAAGTTACAAGCAATGAGCTTGCTTCTCCTTTGTTCCTCCAGTTACCATGGAGGCTTGGTGTGGCACCATAGATTAAGCAGTCCAGGAGGACTGGATTGCATATTTAAACTAATGGCCCAGATCTTTTATTGCTCAGTGGCATAAAGGGATCATTGCCTCGTGTCTTTGCTTTTTACAGTTTGATTACAAAACATCTCCTGAACATATAAGTAGTTAACATGCTCTCTTTTTATTAGCTGCTTCCCAAAGTCCTAAAATAATAAGGATTTTGGATCAAAGGCTAAGTGAGTTGAGTCAGTAATCTTTGAGGGTAAGAGAGTAGAGGAAACTCACTGAGAAGTATCTCAGAGATACTGATCAAGAGTAGGAAAACCTGAGAGGGAAGGGATTTGACAACAGCAAGAAGAAAAGTCTTTCAGTAACTCCAAGAGAAAAATGGTGTCTTTTGTCAACTACTTATACTTGATCCCATAAAAGAATCTCCCTGCTTTTCTCCCTTCTCTTCAAACTCCAGAACACTTGACCCCTCATCCTCACCCCACCCCACACTTGTCCTCACCTGCTTTTTGCTGAAGCAGCATCCCAGCCAACCAACTGCCACTGAGTTGATACCAAGTCCTAGGGCAGACTAAAGCAGCTCCCTAGGATACAGCAGATGGCCTGTGTCATCCTTCTCCCACAGAGGGGCTGCTGCGTCCCAACTGCTGATCCTGCATTTAGCTATTGGAGCCTAAATCAATAGAGTCTTTCCTTCAATAATTAGGGTTTGTTTCAAAAGATACATATATCCCAAAGAATCCCAAGCTTTGCGAAACACATGGGTGTTTTAAAGCCCTAACCTATAAGTCCGTTCCACTTTCTTTATGCATTTATCATTTCATATCAACCCCTCTATATCAATGTTCATCTGATTGTGTATAATTTTATAGCTATTCAATTTAACAAGTTCATTCTAAACTTTTTAAATGATACATTCTTAAGCTGTGGAAACCACTGAAGGTGCTTATGAAGTGTTCTCCCTGATTTATTCATGTTATTGGATGATTCCTTGAGTTTACAGCTGTACAAGCTATTAGAACAGAAAAATAAAAGACTTTTTTGTTAAAAAGAAAACCTTTCTCTTTCATGAATGAAGAGAATGCTGGGAGGTTGAACAACGCAAAGACAAACGGACATTTTAATAATTTGAGAAACCTATGTACCCCAGAGACCCCAGGGTTCTAAAACCAGAGCCACTACCATCTGGTTGATTCTAACTCATAGCCACCCTATCTTACATAGTAGAACTGTGCCGTAGAATCTCCGAGACTAGAAGACTTTATGGGAACAGACAACCTCATCTTTCTCCCTCAGAGTGGCTGGTACGTTCAAACTGCCAGCCTCTGGGTTTGCGGCCTAACGCTCAACCCACTGCACCACCATGCCTCCTTCTAGTGTTGTTGTGAAGAGCTGTTGAGTCAGCTCTGACCCATAGCGACCTTGTGTGTGTAGGGTTTCTGAGGAGTGACTGGTGAGCTGAAACCACTGAATGTGTGTTCGTTTCAAGCCGACTTCGCAGTCCAGCATTCTAAAGCGTGGGTAATTTCCCAGGCCATTCATAAAAGTCTCGTGAATTTATCATTGATTTTAAAATGATTTATATGATTGCCCCCAAATCACCTTTCCCAGCACTGCTTTCGTTTTGTAAATGTATGTTTTAGCTATAGGCAGTAGAAACGGTTTCCTCACTCAGTTCTGAATGTGAGCTATATATGCTTTTCTGCCTACTCCCTCTAGAGGAACACTTTTCCTGACATGGAAATGAACCTCCTGGCCACGGTCACCACGCTGGCCCTGGGCCCTGTTAGGACAGAGTCAGATAGGGGAGTCCGAAATTCCCAGAATGGGTGCTCGGAGTTGCAGTGGTCAGCCTGCTGATGTGGACTCCTCCAAGGGGACAACCTCTGTGAAGTTGTCAAACCTACTTCCCTAAGATTGGCACAGTGTTGATCACTGCTGTGGTAGGCAGAACACTGAAGGTGTCCTCCAGGATTCCTGCCCCTTGGTTTATGGAACCAAACACTAACTCTAGGTGCCATTGTGAAGGGCTTTGCAGATGTAATTAAAGTTACTAATCAGCTGCCCTTAAAATAGCGCAATGATCCTAGGTTTTCCAGATGGTCCTTAAAACAGGCGAGGTAGAGAGACGAGGCAGAAGGGGAAGCCAAGGGCTCGAGTGTGAGAAGGACTCCGCAACGCTATTGCTGGCTTTGAAGCTAGAAAAGGGAGCCATGAGCCCAGGAGATGGGCAGCCTTAGCCAGCTGAGAAGGGCTCCTGGCCCCCAAGCACCCAGAACATGGGGGCCTGAGTCCTGTACCCACAGTAACTGGATTCTGCCAACGACTGAACAAGCCTGGAAGCAGACTCAGAAATGGACCGCAACCTTGATTTCAACCTGTGGGATTCGAAGCAGAGGGCCCACTGAGACATGCCATACTGAACTTTTTCTGACCTCCAGAACTGTGAGTTAACCAATGGGTCTGTGATGATGGGTTTCAACAGTAATGGAGTTCAGTTGTTAAGGCCAGGTGGTGGGAATACAGATGACGCTGGATTTCCTCCATTTGACCATTCCCACCCTGATCTGTTAGCGTAGTGGTTACGAATCAGGCTACTAACCTCAAGGTCGGCTGTTTGAAACTACCAGCTGTTCTGTGGGAGAAAGATGAAGCTTTCTGCTCTGATACAGAGTCTGGTATAGGACCCTGTGTAGGGTCACTATGAGTCGGAACCGACTCCACGGTACTTACCAACAACAACACCCTGATCGGAGTCACGTGGACCACACCTGTGGGCTTCCTTCCCTCTGGCTTCAAGTAGGCACTCAGCCAGTCAGAAATCCTGGCAAGCAACGGAAGTCGAAAGGAGAATGAGGCCAGATGCTTATCTCCCCCACCCCAAATGGTCTGTCAGGGTCCCGGATAACTCCCCCCATCCCTTTGGGACCCCCATTTTGTCCAGGACTGCTTCATTTGGGGTGCCTCTGCTTTCTGATTCAGTTCTGCTTTTGTGATTTCTGCTTTTGTGTATGTTTGAAATTTCCTCTAGTTAAAAAAAAAATTAAAGCGATGTCTTATAATCACACTGATATGTTCAGTAATGATACAGTAACTGTGGGGTGGTGCTATAGGATAAGCACTGGATTGATAACCATAAGGTCAGTAGTTCAAACCCCCAATCACGCCTAAGAAATCCTATATGGGGTAGCTATGAGTCAGAACCAACTCAGCAGCTCTTAACGACAACAACCATAGTCTTTGTAACTCCCATCAAATGACTGGGTGATGGTGGTGGTGTGACATGGAGTCGGTTCCGACTCATAGTGACCCTGTACAGGGTCCTGTACCAGACTCTGTATCAGAGCAGAAAGCTTCATCTTTCTCCCATGCAATGGCTGGTAGTTCCAAACTGCTGACCTTGAGGTTAGCAAACTACCAGAGCAGAACCATCAAATAGGGTATATGGGACTCTGATGCAGCAAAGAGTTGGAGGATGACATCAAGAACATCATACGTGAAGAGAGCAAAAAGTCATTGAGAAGACAAGAAAGAAGGAAAAGGTCAAAATGGATGTCAGAAGAGACTCTGAAACTTCCTCTCCAGCTAAAGCTAAAGCAAATGGAAGAAATGAGGAGGTCCAAGAGCTGAACAAAAAATTTCAAAGATCAGCTCAAGAAGATAAAGCCAAATATTATAATAAAATATGCAAAGATTTGGAGTTAGAAAACCAAAAAGGAAGAACATACTCAGCATTTCTCAAGCTGGGGGAATTGAAGAAAAAATTCAAGCCTAGACTTTTATTATTGAAAGATTCTCTGGGAAATGCTTGAATGATGCAGAATGCATCAAGAGAAGATGGAAGGAATACACAGAGGAATACACAGAGGAATGGTTAATGTTCAACCATTTCAAGAGGTACCATATGATCAAGAGCCAATGATACTCAGGGAGGAAGTCCAAAGTGCATTGAAGGAATTGGCAAAGAACAAGGCACCAGGAATTGATGGAATAAAAATTGAAATCTTTCAAGAAAGTGAGGTGGCACAACAGGAACTCACTCATCTCTGC